ACATATTGCACCTTTGTCTAACATATTATAAATACAGTGGTTAACTGATGAATTTTCAAACCCATTTTCTTTATGAACTTTTACTATTATTCCAAACTAACATCTAGTGGTTTGTTTTAGTTCATAGATACAAAGCCTTGCAAACTTGGTTAGGAGGTTTACTTGCCACACCTTGAGCCAGCCACCCTTCAGCCTTCAGGAACCTTCATAAAAATGGCTTCCTTCAATGTCCCATCCGGGAAAGCTGTTTTTACATCCATATGATGTATTAAAAGGGTAAACTGATTAAAAAGGCTACTATAAACCAGAAACCTACGATTCTCGCCACCTGTGCAAAGGTTTCATTATAATCTACCAAGTAATGTTGACTAAAACCACTAGCAACGAAGTAAGCTTTGTATCTAAATGGTTTTCCAATTTCATCATTTTCAATGGAAAATATCCATTTACAATCCACTATATTTTTATATTCGGGTCTTGATACCTTGATACTAACGACCACGTTTTATTTACCAATAATGAGTGAATCAATATCATTTGGCAGATCTGTTTTAATCACAGATTTACTATACTCATTATTTAGTTTAATGAGTTTATTAGAGTTAACATTTACCTACTTTCCTGGATTGTTACTCATCTGATTTAGCTATATCAGATTTATTAACCAAACCACCGATCTTGACAAACTGCCACTTTCAGGGAAAAGGTTTTATTAGACTATCCAAGATGCTGTCGAACTCAAATTAAAATGTCCGCCAAGAGGCACACAAACCCTTTGTTTGCTTGTCAAAGTCACGTGTTTTGGATAGGCTAATTACCAAAGTGTTACATTAATTTTTGACACTTTTTCAGTTCAGTTCAGTTCAGTTTATTAATAACTACTGATATTGACAAACAATCAGAGGAAACAGCTTTATCATCAAAGTGTTTTCCATTCACTTTTTCATAATCACTATTAACTACTAATATTGACTTACTCAAAACCCTGATTGAAAATCACTGAATAGTTTATTTCTATCTACCTATAAACTCAACAAGTTGCATATACACCATTTTCTCCAAAATTTTGTCAATAGTGCAAAACAAATTTATTGGATGCAATTCACTGGAGGATTTTAATTTAACTACTTTGGGAATCGTGATTATAGTGGAAACTGAATGAATATCATTTGGCAGATCTGTTTTAACCACAGATTTACTATAATCATTCATTATATAGTTTGATAAGTTTGTGGGTTAACAGTTAGCTACTTTCTTGGATTGGTTGGTCATCTGATTTTTGCTTTATCAAATTTATTAACCAGCAATCTTGGCAAACTGTCAAAGGAATCAGTTTCATTACCAAAGTGTTATGCATTCACTTTTTCAAACTTATCATTAACTAACCACTGATATTGACAAAGAGTAGTCAGAAAAATTGGCTCTATGACCAGAAAAGTTAAACATTTACTTTTCAAGCTTATTAGTAACTACTGATCTTGACAAAGAGTCAGAGAAATCAGCTTTTACAACTAAAGTGTTCTATATTCACTTTTTCGAGCTTGTTAGTAATTACTGATCTTGACAAATAGTCAGAGGAATCAGCTTTATGATCATAAGTGTTCTGCATTTATTTTTTCAAGTTTATGATTAACTACTGTTCTTGACAAATAGTGAGAGGAATCAGCTTTATGGCCATAAGTGTTCTGCATTTACTTTTTCAAGCTTATCATTAACTACTGTTCTTGACAAATAGTCAGAGGAATCAGCTTTATAATCAAAAGTGTTCTACATTCACTTTTTCAAGCTTATTATTAACTACTGATCTTGACAAATAGTCAGAGGAATCAGCTTTATGCAGATTAAAGGGCTTGGAGGACAAAAACAAATTTGTCATATCTACAATAATATCCTTGACTACAACAAACTTATGACTAACCACATCCCACACTTCATATTCATTTGGTTCATAACCAACCAGTACAGCTTTCCAGGATTTGATATCAAATTTTGTTTTCCTGGTTTTTATGTACCTATAAACGGTATTATGGAACCAAACACTTATGAATATTTTACTTGAGGCTTTTTACTACGTCACATTTCGTATGGTGTTTCAAATTCTTTTAAAGTTTTAGTAGGGGTCAAACTAAGTGAGAATGTTGCAGCTAAAACTGCCTCCAACTTTTTTTTTTATATACAGTGTCATTACTTAAGTGTGCAACATATGGGATTTTTTTTTTAGTAATAGCACAATCAAAATACAATCAAGGCCAAAAGTTGGTGCATGTCTGATAATCATATTAGGTGCATTTAGAATGGTTGCAAGTCGAACAGCATACAGGGTGGCTCAAAAAATATCAAAATTCTACTAATATTTACTTAAATAAAATAAAACTTTTGCACTTTAAGGAGAGTTTTTTAAATATGGCTATTATCATAAGTAATGTTTTAACTTGTAAAAAAAAAATTGCGACATTTTAAAGTTGTGTTGAATATCATTGCAACAAACATGAATTTTGTGATTCCATAAAAAATTAAAAATCTAAGTTAATTTTACAAATATGCTTGAATTAGAACAAAGTTATGCAAAATTGATTTGATTTTAATTAATTTTTGAAAGTCTTAAGGGCGGAAATAAAAAATAAAAAAAATATAGAAATTATAGATTTTTTTCGGAAGAAAATTAAAAAAATCTTAGGAGTCTATGTTTTGGTATTTAGGCATAACTTTTAATTCCAACCAACTTTTCTCTATAACATTTTGCTGAATTTTCTAAAATAAGGGTACTTTACAGTACAGGCTTTGATATTGTTTGAGCTACCCTGTATGCTGCTTGACTTGCAACCATTCTCAGTGCACCTAATATGATTATCAGACATGCACCAACTTTTGGCCTTGTTTGTATTTGGGTTGTGCTATTATTTAAAAAAATACCCATATGTTGCACACGTAAAAAATCACACTGTATATAGCTGCATCATTTAATTTGTGGGGTTCATGGAATTGTCAAATGATGACTTATCTTTTTGCATACCAAAAATCTCTCATTTCAGTAGCTAGATATTCACCTTCATTGTCACAGAATACATTGAAAATCTGTAAATTGAAATGTGCCCCAATTTCAGCAACTGAATCTTGAAACATACAAAATACATATGACTTATGACTCATCAAATATGTTACACAATAGTAAGTAAATTCATGCACAAACAGTACAATGTTTTTGAAATGGAAGTCGCGCTTGTTTATGCACGCTCCACATTAATACTCATTGTATAACCTGATCGATTTGCCCTAAGACCTCGATCTCTGTTTTTTTTTTATAATAATTTATTAATTTAATAATTTAAACCTCACCAATGTGGTCCAAACGTTCGAACCACAATTGATAATTTTTATTTATATTTAATTGTCACTATGTGCTTGAATAATAGTGTCTTTTAAATTTCCAATAACAGTGAGTTCAAGAGCAATTATTATTAAAGTATTCAAAGACCCATAAATTATAAGCTTACCGCCTTTGTAAATACTACCACTTTTTTTAAAGCAATAGTCATACTAGCCCTTTGCTTTTCTCTTACGGACAGCAAATTGTAAGGGACCTCTGGACAGTCCAGACTTTCCTGTATGCCCATATTACTGGGAATACTAATTGTGCCCTTTTTGGTTTGCTGTTATAAGAGTTCCATTTTTTTTTTTTTTCATTGATGGAATTTTATTTCACTTTTTCATTGTGTTTCAGAGACTCGATTTTTTTTTTTTTTTTTTTTGAAATTGCGTCTTTTAAAATCGGTTTTAAAATATCCTCAACGATAATTATTTTTAAATTGCTGAGCTCTGGTGTTCTTATCTAAGTTCAAGCTCTGTTAGCATGAAGCCTTTTGTTTCTTTTTAGTTTCAAATTTTCCATTGTCACATTAAACACTCCCGGTTTTCACAACCGCAATAAATACACGTACACTGGTCCCATAACCTATTGGGAAATGGACTAAGAAATAAAAGAACTTGTTAATTATCGATATTCAAGATATTTATTATATCGAACACAGCGAAGAAAGCAGAGCGTGTGAACTCATAGAAATAACTATACGAACTAACTCAACATCAAGACAAAGAATAAAGCAGGACGCGCACTGAATCGACTCGGGCCGGTCGACTCGGCGAAGAGCATTCGGTAGTTTTTGATACTCATGCAATTAAATGAGACTCCGTGCACGGCATCGGACTCGTCGACTCGACGTGGTCGACTCGAGTCTCATTTAATTGCATGAGTATCAAAAACTTCCGAATGCTCTTCGCCGAGTCGACCGGTCCGAGTCGATTCAGTGCGCGTCCTGCTTTACAAACCCTTTATTAAGTAAACGATTCCTCATCTGTTTATCTTATATATAAAAACTATTATAAACACATTCAGTCATCTATAGCTGCGATATAAAATAGCAAAGTATAGGCTAATAATCAAAGTTTAATTTATTAATTTTTGTGTCACTGATATGAATATCAGTTTATCCAACATCCATATGTGAATACATATACATATGATCTAAGAGTTTAACTTTGTTGATGTTCTGTCGGAATTTCTACGGTCGGGGACAAATCCTATCGGGACAATTACCCACTACCATTACGCGTGGCTTTACAACATAAATGTACCTATACAGATTTTAGTGGAAATCTGACCTCGGTTATTTTGCAACTTTTGCACGATATCGATGGCAACTCTTGCATTCAGGTATAGTGATAGTGGAAAACATTTAAAGAAAATCACTCGTTCCTGCATTAACAATCACCTTTTTCACTGTAAGGTACTTCTTAATAATTTAATTTTTTTGTTGAAATCTTTATATTGTTCGGGTTTTTGTTAAAAATATATGTTTATACTATTGTTATTATGATCTTTAAATGAATAAATATGCATTATTATTATCGAGTTTTATTGTAGAGTTTTGTGCAATAATTATTATTATTCTGATGTTTATTTGTGGATATATAAGTACCTATATTTCTAATTTTTGTTTCAGCAATGTACGAATGTAGAAACTGTTCAAAAGCCTATAGACATAAATCATCTCTATGTAAACACCGAACTTACGAATGCGGAGGAAAAGAAAGAGTCTTTCGTTGTACAGATTGTAATAAAGCGTTTTCTAGAAAGGATACATTGAAAAGGCATATGAAGTTGAGACATGACAAACACCATGTAGTACTTTAGGAACTATAAAGTTAACAAACCAAAATAAGTAATACATTTGTTTGCTTTTATTGTTTTCTAATTTAGCATTTTTGTTAAACATTTTACACTAACAATAGAATATGTATATGTATTTTTATATTTTAGCAATTCTTGCGTCTTATAAATGTCCAAAATGTCTTAAAGCTTACAAACATCCAAAATCGGTGAAAAATCACTTACGCAACGAATGTGGGGTGGAACCAAGATTTCAATGCAATTTATGCTATCAAAAATTTAGGCAAAAAGTTTGTCTTTTAAGGCATGTTTCTGCTAAACATACCAAATAGAGATTTTTATGTGGAAGTGACTTTTTACCAAAAAAAAATGTGTATTTTTATTGAATAAATATTTGATCCAAAAGCACTAGACCATCTTTTTACTGGTAAAACGTGAAATATAGATTTTGATAATACATACTTTTTTTTAAGCTTTTCCGTGTGGTACCTGCGCGATAAACGCTAGATGTCAAAACTGAGTCTAAGTAGGCATAAGAGGTTCCAGTGCCAAGAAGAGCCGACCCAGAACGTCATATTTTGAGCACAGCACTTTTTGGCCTAATGACATAAATAACTATTATCTTCAAGCGGTCTATGACTTAAAACTTTATTGTCGTCAAAATTTGACACAAAAGTGATTATGATTATCAAATTATTATGTTATTATCTCGGCAGTGTCAATCAGCGCTATTATGTTAATGTAATTTTTGCGTTTCCAGCCTCTTATTCCTCTTAAAATGGGTGAAAAAAGCAGTGAATAGGTTGCGAAAGGAAACATTGCAGTTCCTCGAATGAAATTATTTACGCCATTCGGCCCATTGTTCGCTCAAAAATACTAATTTTTGGTCTTTATCCATATGTAGAATGCAGTGCTATTTTTGTTGGTTTGAATGTTAAGAGGGGCATGAGTGATTTTGCAGACCTTCACGCCGGCAGAGTCTATTCAAAAACTAGACAACTCTTAAGAGAAAACCTGCCACATTATATACTACCTGGTTTTCATTATGTTGTAGAACAGGGATGCGAAACATAATAAATATAAAGTAGGTATACGGGAAACAAATAACTATTATAAATATGTGTTTTTATTTGAAATTTGGGCATTAATTAATATGTTTGTACCTGTACCTATGTCTTTTTTGCCTTAAAAATATGACCAGAGAAATAGATTTGAATTACCAGGACAGAAAATATTCAAAAACGACTGAATAAGAGACTTTTGCTATTCTGATGGCGTCCTTGAAATATTGCTACTCTAATCAATACACCCCAACAAATTTAGTCTTGTGTATTGGGAACCGCGAAGACAAATTAAAAATTAAAAAGCTGAATAAACTCTGCATAAAAAAAATAACGTAATTTTACGAAGTAGGTATGTATTTTACCCGCTTCCGTAAAATATTGGAATAGTTTTTGCAATGTTGATAATGTAGAACTTTGTCGCAGTGCATACCTCTTATGTTACATGTACAAACATTGAACGTTTCACGGTGTGGTGATGTTATGTGGCCTATTAATTCAGCATATTCTGGTGGTATAAACATTCGACATCTAAGCTCCTGTAAAATCTTTTACAAACGTACGAACTCTTTTCGGGACATCTAAAAATTTTGTCATCATACTATACCTAATTAAACAAACTTAAAATAGGGCATAAACTTTATTTCAAATATTAATTAGATATATGACTTTGATATCATGTATATCATCAAAAAACGTTGAATTTGGATATCTGATATAGTTATATGGTATAGAATGAACCTCACAATGTTAGTAGGTACTTTTTTCTCGGCTATTGCATCTGTTACCGATAAAACAAGAATCTCAGTTCGGATCATCTGGATCCTGAGGCTAATGTCTGAAGCGTTTATAAAGTTTTTATGCCTTAAATTTGGGTCCTAACTAGACTTTAATCGACTATAAAAATAGCAAAAAAAACCAAGCCAAACTAATAATAATTGCATGCATGAATTGCCTCCTATAAAGCCTTCACTTGTAGTTTGTGTAACTAACAAAATATTAACTGAAATGTCTTTTAGATTTTCCTTACAAATGTACCACTTGTCCAAGACAGTATAAACATCCAAGTTCTCTGTACAATCATCAAAAATACGAATGTGGAAAAGTTGAATCGTTTCACTGTCAATTTTGTAGTTTTTGTTGTAAAAGGAAAACGAGTTTTATTCGTCATGTGAAAACTAGACATTAAGTATAGGTATAAGTTGTTGGAAAATGAAAATTATGTATATTTTGTTATAATATCAATAAAAGTTATATCCAACGTCGCACAGAATATATTATATTGTATATGCCGTTCACGAAGAAAAAGGAAATTTTGTACAAAGTTTAGTGCTGAATATGTATTTTTTGAGTAGTCTTTTTGTTTTCACTGTTGACTAGCACGAGATACAGATCGAACCAACCTACTAGACATATGTGTAATATGTCTGGGAGTAATAAGACGAATTAGTTTGTACCCGGAAAACCAACTTCCACCATAAAAATATTTCATTCGGCGCTTCGTGAATAAACTTTAACACTTCCTCTTTGAACAAAATTTCTGATATTTTTGGTTCATATCCCTATATATAGACTTGATTCTAAATTCTCTTAATCTTTGAAAATATTTACCGCCCTAGCAAATATAATGCAACTAGCAAGTTTTGTGTGGGCTAACATTATAAAAATGTCAGTTCTGATGAAAGCCGTCCAAGAGGTTAGGGGCAAGACACATCCGCCCAATGCATTTCCGCTGCTGCTTCCGAATAGGTCAAATTAACCAGATGGCGGATGTCAGTCTCAAATTCTTCTAAGCTCTCTGCTGCTTTCTGTTGTCTTGTTTTTAGCTGTACCTGGTAAAGCTGGCTTTGGTGATGATCTCTATAACGATGCTCTAACGCTTCAACAAGCGCACCGTAGTTTTGTTGGAAAACTGGTGGAAGAGTCTCTAATGGGTCTAAAGCTGCGTAATGCTACAATCAACCCTGTAGCCATGTAATCGGAGCTCCAACAATAAGCTATTGTAACAGTCTCGAACTGACGTCTGTACATGGTTCACGATGTCTGTCCGTCATACGGTGCTAATTTAACTTTAATTCCGGTTGTAGTAGAGGCGGAGACATTCACTGATCATAATTCGCATTCCAACTTCTCAATATTCTTCTCAAAACTATCCATTTCTTGGCAAATAGTTCCAACTTCCTGACGAACACTCACAACTTCTTCACGTACTTGTTTCATGCGGTGGAGTACAGCTTCTATGTTTTCCAAGTTTTTTCGCCAAAATTATTTTTTTTTCAAGGAATTGACCGTAAATCCGTTATAGCACCATTAATTTTTTTCTTCGAAATTTCGCATATTGCATTCATAAGCGAACGAATTTCGAATAACTGCGAAAATACGGATTCTAGAGTCATTTCCAGGCAAACAGAAAACTAAACTGACTACTTAAAAAATGCTTATGATATAAAATGCACTAGCACTTCGTATAGTGGGAATCATTGCAATTGGCACACACTATATAAATATCCCTCGTAATGTGTCAAATCTGACACACAGTAATAGCAAAATGCTGCACTAAATAGATTTATTGGTTAGAATTTTGACTTAATACGAGGGATTTTAAAGAGTGTGTGCCAATTGCAATGATTCCGACTTTACCAAAGTTCTGGTAGTAGCATTAGTATCTGGTAATTTTCTGAATACTTAAGGCATTTTTTAGCGAGATCCCAGTAAAAATCGTTTATAACCCGTGCGGTTATACACGGTTACACTCCCACTTAAAATATATATCCCTACTATTGGCAGATTTCTAGGATTAAACCGCTTCTCGCTAGATCAAAATTGTGAGAAAAAAGTGAGGTTAGTTCATGTTTTGTGGTAAACCTAAAAGAAATGAAGTCCATAATTTAGTTCTTATTACTAATTGACGATAATATGTTTGAAAACACCTTGTATATTCTAATTTCTTATCGAGTCAAGTATAGTGGTCCCTTGGAATGTATATTGCGAGAAAATCATCAGAGACAGCTATAATATGTGGATTCCTTCAACTTGATGACTAACTACTACCGGCGACTCCGGCGAGAGCTGCCATTTTTTGATATCCTCCAATAACAAAAAAACCTCAGAAAAAAACTCACTTTTACAAATCAAAACAATTATAAATGAATCTAAGGTTAGAATTTTTCAGTTACCCAACTCTGGACTTGGGTATCAAAACCAATAACCTCGTTATAGAATTATGACGTCACTTTATGACAGCAAAACACCTTCCCGGTTATTGATTTCCTGTAACCGCTTATAACACGGGAACTTACGAGAGCTCGCTAAAAAATGCCTTTAGTTTATTTATTTAAATGTATGCTTCTCAGCTAATATAGTAAATAACCGCTATTTGTAGATCAGAGGAAGCCCTGCTGTCCAAAATGTCTGAAAAGCTATGTCCGTGTTTCTGCCCTCAACAAGCATTAAAAATATGAATGTGGAATAGAAAAATCTTTTGCCTGTCAATCGTGCAAGTGTTAGACCGGATAATTTAAAAGTTCATCGTCTATAAGAAAGCATCGATGTTTGAAATAAATCGTTCCAGCTGTAAAATTTATATGGCTTGTCCAATACGCCAAAACACCCTGCCAAGGTTCCAAGGATTGTTATTTTCAGTTATTGATTTATTTTGTACGGAGAAAACACATTTTTTTTTTTCAAAACGTATTGGAATAATAAGAAAATTAAATTTGCACGGTAATATCAACTTATCAATAATTGTTTTAATTGTCTATAAATTAATAAATGGTCTTTTTAACCGTGATATGCATCTAGTTCGGATAGTGAGTAAAGTGAAACTGTGAAGGTAATACTATCGGTGGCAGGAATTGCAAACACTTCCATAAAGTAGTTCTCTTAAAGTCGTTTTCTGATAAAGCCGCTCAAAATTTTGATTTTTTACGCAATTTTTATGCAAACACCTTAAAAAATCTATTGTCGGACCTTGTCAACAAAAATAAAACAAACTTCAGTGTTTTTTATGTTAAAATTAGAACCTTCCCGCGCTTTTAAAATATCAATGTTTCGATTTCTAGGACCTTCTTCCAGTAAAATTATTAACTTATCTATATCGTTACGTGAATTAAACCTATAACTTTAATAAGAAAAAAGTTAACTAAACCTCAGTTTTCCAGGTGGAACAAAGGGAAATTTTGGATAAATTGTCAATACCCCAATAACGTGTTTAATCATAACACTAGTAAAGATTCCTAGTTAAAGTTGTAAAAAAATAGATTTAATAAATTCCTATAAAACAAGATTTATTAGAACTTCCTTGAGCATGCAAGCATAGTCG